TCAAAAATTATTTAAATTTCCCGCCATTATTATTTCTCATTTTTCTCCTATTTCACTTTTCTCAATATGTGACTTTTTATTTATTTTTTGGCGAAATTAGACTTCCAATATTCACTTTTACTCGCAAAATAAAAAACTTTCAGTCAGATTAAAATTTTTTCAAATTTATGAAAAATTAAACAATTCCACCCTCAAAAATTAACCTAAAATCGTCTAAAACTTTTCACAAACACCTGAACACTTTTCCTATAATCTACTGCTCCAATAAAACCACCACCATAAAACAATAATTCTAACGTAATCAACATTCGTGAATTTTCCAGTCTGTAACCATAAATTTTTGGAAACGACTGGAAAAGAAAAAGACTCTAACCAGCTCCGTGGCAAGAGAATCAACTTGGAATCATTTGTCTCGTTTCAAGGTGCTCGATATTCACCGAAGAAAACGCGCTGTTCGAACTTGAATATGCGGCTTCGAAGGAAGTGAGGCTTCTTTGTCGGAACGAGCATCATCGTCTTTTATGGAACAACCTTGGCATACTCTAGCTTCTAGGCTGCAACCAGAGTGTAGGTAAAAGTAACACACGCATGTACGTAGAGGCGTGCGTTAACAATAACTGGAAGGAGAGGAGCGATGATTATGCGAGTTATGTAAGCGATTCGCAAGAGTACGCAACACGTCGTCAGAATTGCCAAGTGCAAGTTTCGATAAGGATAAAAGGCGACGACGATTCGCGGAGATAAAACAATTATCGCGAAACCAAACTTTAATCAAGATTTTCAAGGGTTCGAAAGGAAAATACCAAAGATTACAATTACCTTCCTCATACAACTGTGGCTTTTAATGATAGTTTGAAATAACAGTCTGTGCATGTTTGATATTACTGCCTGTAGCGGTAATCGTTACTCTTATGATGACATCAGAGTGGTTACTTTTATTACGTCTTAAATGAGATAATTGAAACGTTTGTCGGCATTGCAGAATTTAATTTATTGTAGATTTATGTGGTATTAACGTGTAAAAGGAATATTACTACTGTAG